CCCTCCCGAAGCACAGAAGGTAAGGACTGCATTTTTTATCAACAAAGTTATAAAGATTAGGAAATGAAAATGGCATTTTGTTACTTCTTGTTTTCTGAGAGTTTAGCAAGCGATGAGAATAATTGCACTGTTATCATGCAGAAGCCTGAATAAACTGTCAGCCACTGCAAATGATCATTGCTTAGTCTAGAAAAAAAAAAAAAAAAGCTGCTCTTAAATTTTTTGGAAAGTGCCACATACTTCAAGCTGACTTACATAAATCATGTTGGGTATTACAATGCTGAATGAAAAATTCACCAGTCACACCAGCTTCTATTCCGGCTCCTCAGAGCAATGACTTAAAAGTGGATACTTATGCTGTGTCTCACAGTACTAGGGTTTCACTATTTTCACAGCACATATTAAATGACATTTTCGCTTCAGCTGTGTAGACTGTTCAGAGGGTAATCAAAATAGAAGATATTTATTATTTTTAATCACCACAAACAAAACAAAGGAAAGCTTTCCAATCTTATGTAAAGCACTGTGTCAGAATAGGTTGGAAAGTAATTTACCAGAGTCTGGTGGGGGATTTCATTTCTTAATACAAATAATAGGTAAGACTGTTTATTTCTCCTAAATTTAGGACTTCCGCAAGACGCATATGCTAGACAGCATCAATACCCTGTCAACATCACAGGAATATAAACCATTAATATAAAATAAAGCTAAGCTGCACTTGAAAGATTGAACAACTTTGGAATGCATCACATTTTTAGTAATGTTTGTTTTTACCTGGTATGCCACGAATGTCAGCAGTCTCCAAGCCAAACTTGTTTAGCGCACATTAACAGTCTGCTCTATGTACTATCAGTTTTTGTTGGCTTTCCTGCCATGGTGTGATATCTGTTCCTATAAGTTCTCTATGTGGGAATACAAGAAAAACTGGTCAGAGCAAAAGCTGTGGAGCAAGATAGACAGCACCTTTATACCATTCAGACTGCTTAATTGCCATTTAGTTCTACTCCTAGTTCTGCTATGGATCTTTGCTCCTGTTGGCATGTTTTAAATCACTTTTGAAAGCTGAGGTAGAATCTCTGAGTAAGGGGAGACTGACACTATACAAAGGGATAAATATGAAGAATTGAATATTTTCCTACTGTGATGACAACTACTTCTCCAAATTTCACATAGCACAGTGTTTTCTGACCATATTTAATGGCTTCTTTGAACCATGTACCCACCTCTAGCAAGAGTCTAGCAGTAGCTCAAAGCATCAACGCTACATCCCAAATAGCTAGAAGACTACATAGAATAGTAGAAGATGAAAGCAAACCTAATCCAAAGATTCTCAGCAGCTCAGGAAAAAAGTTTTGCAGAATATGTCAGTAGCCCTACCTGAATTACCAAAACATGGAATGGAAATGGAACTTGGAAGCTACAGGCACAAAGTGAATCAAGCTATCTACCACTGCATTCTTCCAATACTGAGTTCCTAGTCAAATGATGAATTCATCATAAACAGGTAGGTCAATAAGGGATACATTTTGATGTAAATCCAGAGAAGATGGTAGGTCGATTTTTTCAGATTCAAACTGATATTTCTAAAATCTTCTATAACCACAGAACAAAAAGGTACATATTACAAATTACATATTACATATTACAAAATTAAAATTACATATTACATATATAGTACATATTGCACAGAAAGATAATTATCCTGATTCAATTTTTCAATATATACTGAGGACTCACTTAAGTCAGGCGAGATGATATACCTTAATGTCAAGTAGGTTGTGTGTCACAGCCAACTTTACATGATCTTTCTGGACTGGAATTTCTGAGTACACCACTATCTTCACAGGTAAACAGTTCCTAGGAAAACTGTCTCGTAGTAACTCCCAAAAAACTGTAATTCCTTTAGCCCAAACTTTGCATTTTCTTTCCAAATTCTTGTCCCCAAAGTATGTCAGAAAACTGTAAAGATTTGTTCTGAGACAATTTACTTTTTGTAGCAAATTATTTATTAAGATAAAGTTAAACTGCAGGTTAAATTTCAGAGTAGTATAAACTTTTCCCACCAAATTTATAAGACATTTTATTTTTGGTTCAACAAAATATTTTTCAACAAAAGATTTTTACCATTAACATAGTTCTGCCATGGGTAAGAAAAAAGAGTTTATTTTATCTGATTTGATTTTGAGATCTCTAACTCTGTCTGTGTGCAGTATGATATTAAATGGAGTTTGCAGGAACTCTAGTCTTACTTTTCTCACCTCATCACCTGCTCCAACTTGTGTATTTTGTTAGTGCCACTTAGTTTTGAAATGAAGCAGACCAGTGATTACATGCAGCTGCATGCTGGCATGAATAATGCTTTCAGCTTTTGAGCAGAGTGTTCTCAGAGCTTTCCTAACCATTCTATGGCCTTGTGTGTCATATTATGTGTGAGTTAGTTCTTCTGAGTGCTATGAGAAATCTGCTGAATGACACATGTTTTAAAATGTCTTTTCTGTTTTATAAAGGAATGTAATTTACCAAGGGCAAGCTAAATTGCACAGGAAAAGATCTTTTATACAGCTCAGTCTCGGCTCTGAGATCCATCTACATGAAGTTAGTATTTATTTAGGTATGACAGTAACTGCATGTTAACTGAAAATCTAAGAATTTCTTTCAAAGCATAGCTTTGCTGCAAACAACTGTCTAGATTTAGGCGAACTCATACTGTGACAAACTGAGAATGGAGAAAACGCATTTCTTGTCCATAAAAGGACATCCACAGAGGGTAGCTCTGATTTTGCTGCAGTTCCAAACTATTAAGAGGGGACTCACTGTTGCTAAAACAAGTTTTGCTTCATTCCCTTTTCCCCTTTTTCCTCTTTTTCTTTTCTTTTTTTTTTTTCCTTCTTACACAGAAAATGCTTTGTTAGAAATTTTTATTTTAAAAGGTCAGATTTCTCTGCAGTTTATTCTGAGAAAATGCACAGTACCCAAAACATTACCAGCAAGTCAATGGAGGTAATTCTTTTGCTTTACTCACATCTGCAGTGCTCAGTCCAGTTCTGGGCACCCTAGTACAGGAGACATGGACATACCGAAACAAAGATGACTAAGGGACTGTCATACAAAGAGAGGCTGAGAAAGATGGGACTGCCTAGCCCGGAGGAGAGAAACTCAGATGGATCTTATCAAGGTGTAGAAATACTTACTGGGAAAGAGTAAAGAAGGTGGAGCTAAACTCTATCAAGTATGTTCCATACAATGACAATAAGAAATGGGCACAAACTGAAATAGAAGAAACTACTGAAAGAAGTGATATTTTTAGTTTTTTTTTTTTTTTTTTTTTTTTTTTTTACAATGAGGGTGATAAAACACTGAAACAGATTGCCTGGATGGGTTTTAGACTGCTCATCCATGAAGATATTAATAAAATGACTGGACTTAGTGCTGTGTGAGCTGCTCCAGCTGACCCTGGTTTGAGAAGAAATATTAGACTAGATGATCTCCTAAGGATCCTTGCAACATCAGCTGTTCTGCAAGTTTTTGAGTCTGTGACTTCATTCCAGAATGCTAGAAAACTGGCATATGGTGGACTAGTTTGCAGTGTAGGAGAATGAATCTCAAGACTTTTTTCAGTCACTTGAAGCAGTACTTCACCTAGGGCCTCTCACATGGTATGACAGTTCTGTAACAACATGAGTTTTATATGTTCATCTTCAGTTCACTGCCTGTTTAAAAATTTTAGATAGTCTACTTCAAAGTCAATGGTTTTCTTCCATGATCTTATATTTGACATTGAACATTAGTTTCATTTAAATTCAATTGCAATTCAATACAAAATAAACAGTTATCCACAAGGGAAAAAACACTTCCTTACACAAATGCTTATAGTTCTCAACTACAGTATGATAGAAAGATTAAACCAGAAGTGGCCAAAGGGCTTTCAGAAGATACTGAGAAGCTAGAATTAGGAATAAACAATACAGGAATCCGCATTAAGCATAGTATGGCTAAAATGCAGTACAAAAAGAAGCACAGGATGCACAGTTTTCAAAATTTCAGTCTTGAGTTCATTTTGATCTGTTTGAACAAGACTCTTCATTTTCAAGAGGAGTGGGGAGAGAGTCTTCCTTCTGTCCATGAATATTTCTAGCTATTTTGTTCCACTCATGAAACAAGGGAACTTCATTTAAAAAAAAGAAAAATAGCAAACAGGCCGCAGCCCAGCAAAGAGCCACAAAAAAAGTGCTCAGTGGATCTATCTGGACTTCCCACTTGTATTAAAAAAGCCTAAAAGTTGGTTTCCGATGTTCAAAATATAAGAAACAGCACTTTACAGTTTAACTGTGTATTTTCTCTTCAAGAGTACTCTATCTCATAGCATGAGTGAGAGAGCTCTATTCAAACACTGCATTTATTTCTCAGTGTATGATGATACTCTTAAGGTTAGATACAAGCCATTTGATGAACAGAAATTTGATGTATTCGTGAGATTTCAACACATGCAAATTCTTGACACTTAGCAAAGTCATACCTTTTTCATGTTACACCACTTTAGAGTCTGCTACTTTCCTTGCATCTTTAAAACCAACCACTCATTAGAACAGACTCTGCAAAAGTGATTTAACATCTGTTCATTATCAAGGCTTGTTCATGCTTTCCCAAGAGTAGCTACCTAACTCTGTGGAGATGGGACTTAACTGGCATGTCTGTCACTATACAAGTAATGAATAAAAGTGAGATCATTCTTTAAAGCACATGAGAGGATAATTAAATGCTTAAAAAAGAATTTGTAAAATGTTTGCATTTATTACAGAATAAAATTAAATACAAAAAACATACAAATACAAAATTAAAAAAACATACAAATACAAAATTAAAATACATATAGCCTATCTGTATCTATCTTTACTCCGTAAGTAAAACATTAAAAATTAATCATAAAAGAATTTTTATGTTTACAGCATTTAGTAAATCTTATTTAATTGCTTTTATCTTGACTTTCTGTTTCTTTGTAGATCTTACAGGTGAACAAGGTGATGTCCATCTTGTTTTATGTGATATTTCTTGCATATCTTCGTGGCATTCAGTCAAACAATATGGATCAAAGGAGTTTGCCAGAAGATTCAATGAATTCTCTCATTATTAAACTAATTCGGGCAGACATCTTGAAGAACAAGCTTTCTAAGCAGACGATAGATGTCAAGGAAAACTATCAAAATACAGTGCAGAAAGTAGAGGATCACCAAGAGATGGATGGAGATGAAAATATGAAATCAGACTTCCAGCCAGTTATTTCAATGGATACAGACCTCTTAAGGCAGCAGAGACGTTACAATTCTCCTCGAGTTCTCCTGAGTGACAACACACCACTGCAACCACCACCACTGTACCTCACAGAGGATTATATTGGAAATTCAGTGGTATTAAACAGAACATCTCGAAGGAAAAGGTACGCAGAACACAAGAGCCACCGAGGGGAATATTCTGTTTGTGACAGTGAAAGCTTATGGGTCACGGACAAATCATCTGCTATTGACATTAGAGGACACCAGGTAACTGTGCTGGGAGAAATTAAAACAGGCAACTCTCCAGTTAAGCAATATTTTTATGAAACAAGGTGTAAAGAAGCCAAACCTGTTAAAAATGGCTGCCGAGGCATTGACGACAAGCACTGGAACTCGCAATGCAAGACATCCCAAACTTATGTTAGAGCACTGACTTCAGAAAACAATAAACTTGTAGGCTGGAGATGGATAAGAATAGACACTTCCTGCGTGTGTGCATTGTCAAGAAAAATAGGAAGAACATAAATCTGCATCTCTTTGCTATATAAGTTATTACTTTAAATTATATGATATGCATGTAGCATATAAATGTTTATATTGTTTTATATATTATAAGTTGATCTTATTTATTAAACTTCAGCAAATCTACAGTATATAAGCTTTCTCTCTCAATAAACAAGTCTCTGCTATGGGCAACTCCAGATTTCTTTAGACTATGTTTGTGACACTGTCTGTTGGCAGAACACCATAACCTGACTGTAAAATCTGTGTAAAATCAGTATTCTTCATTCAGTATAGTCAAACCAGTGACAGTTATTTAGTAAACTTGTTAAAAATCAGATTGGTGTCAAGAGTTGTGTACATATTTGTATCTCTCACTATACACTCACATTTAATTGGATTCAGTATCAACAATCAAAACAGAAAAGAACTAAAATATGAGTCGTAGCCTGTAGCCGATGTTGTTGTCAGAGTCGTCAAGTAGCTGTAAAATACAATTTATCTTTATTGTGTCAGTTTTGTCAGTGAGATGACCATTTTCCCTGTTAGCATTTCAGGATGATTGTTTATAATCCAGCAACCACTGTTGTTTTTAAAGCACATAAGTTTTGCAACTATTTCTAATGCTGACAATTAATCTTAGAAACAATATTTTGAAAATCTAAAGTGTTTGTAACTAAACTAATGAGACCAAGAGCAGATCTAAATGGATCATTAATACGTAAATGATTATTTCTTCTGGATATAGCATTTATTGTGATTGACCTTTTCTTCTACACTAATCTATTATCTCATGATTAATTTTTACATCATTCTTCTCTGTCTGCATTTTAAAATTAGAAACAAAGTCAGTGTTGTCTTTATGTTAAAAGAGCTCTTGGCTTAAGAATTATAATAAAGAAAGAGATTATATCCTAGGATGGCTATCAAAGCCACAAACTCACATGAAACTGTTCTCCTCAGTAACACAGTCCCTGTTTTAAATGGAGGGAAAATCGAGTGGAAGCTCACAGCAAACCTGGTACCTTTCACAGAGACATAAAAGATTTTCTTTTTGAGCCATACTGTCATTAAAATTCAGGTAAACCATAGCTATAATAGAGTTATTTACTCACACAGGTTTGTGGTTAGGGCAGAAAAACTTGCTAACAAATACCTCAAATTAGTTTTTGCATCACCATGTACTTCCAGTGGGGACACTAATAATTATTCTACCTGAAGATAAGGGCCATTCTGCATTAGCTATATTATGCACTGGATGGTATCTTACTGTGATAAAAGTAAATCAGAATCATGTCATAGATTTTGGTCAACAGAACTAAGATTGAACCACATAAATTATTTGTCCCTAGCTAATTCTTAATCCACAATCAGTGCTCAAAACAAAGCCCTTCAAAAAAGCAGCTATAGTGGTCTTAAATTTTTACATTATGGCTTTCATTGCTGTTGCACGTTACACATCAGAAGTGAAAATGAGATCAGAGTATGCAAAATATGGTGATAAGGTGCCTTTATTCATATAATTTTCACTATTGGAGAATCAACTTTGAATCTGTAACAGGTGATCAATGTAACAAATTGTGTGGTCTCCCCTAATCCCTTGCAGAGAGCCCTACACATCATAAAATGGACAGGTTTCTCACGAGCAGAAGCAAGGGAATAGCTGACACTGAAAACTAGGCTGGAGCATGGAGGTGTAATTCTGGAGGGGAGGCCATAAACAAAAAGTTTTTTTGAGAATTCTCTCAGTTTTCAATATGAAGCCAGAGTATTTACCTCAGAGGAAAAGTAATCACCTCAATGGACTAGAAGCTAACTTTGCTTCAAGCAATAATAGCTTCAGTTTTAGTACGAAGGCAATGGTTAAAAGGGAAGAGATGATATAACAAGCAACTCAGTATCTAATCTGTGATTAGATTTTTTTTCTGAATTCTCCCTCCTTGGAAAACAAACAAAAGAAAACCCTCAACAGATCTTGTGCTATTTTTACTGGCAGAAAAGTGTAGGTTACAATAACCTCTAACTATCAATTTTTCTGTTTGTGAGGAGAAGCATATTTTTAAGAGGACTGTCCCACTGAAAAATTTTCCAGGTTAAAAATCTAATTTTACACCCAAAATTTCCAAATAGAGATTATTTTCAGATATAGTGAATAGCCGAGAGCAGATATTGTCATCTATTATTGACTTCAGAGGTTTTCACTCTTTCATGCATCAATTTGGTCTATATCTATATAAGAAGAGCATCCTCTGAACTTGGATAGACACTGTTGCTTACATCCCATTAATTGGTGACTACATTGTTCCTGGAATGTGGAGGGTGCTCTTGCTTACATCACTATACATCCAGAGAAAGTATACTAGATACAGGTGAGAATGTATTATTAAAGCAATGTAATTAAAATCAGAAATGATTCTAATCTAATTATTTCTACCACTGAAAATGATCATTCTTCATAGGTTTAAAGAAAACAATTTGCTATTTTAGTTAAAGAAAGTCATTATGATTCTTAACATCACCAATACATTGAGTGTTTTCTAAGTGCCCAGCAAAAACACATCAAAGCAAATATAACACCAATCATCTGAAACATATTAAATAGGAAAGAAACAGGGAGCATAAGGTTATGAGATCAGCTGCCTCTTTCTTACCTCAGTATAGAAATGAACAGAAGTGTTACACTTTGGATGTGATCCAAATTCCATCAAAGTCAACAACAAAAAAATACTGTGGGGAAAGCTGCATCAGGCCATCACTGAAGAGAAACCTGCAGATCTCAATCAGAGAGCAGAGCAATTGCACTCATTAGTCACATGTTCTTGTAAAACCTGTGTACACTTAAGATGCTGTATAATTTTGTAACAAGTTTGTAAACAAAGCCTGTAATAAATTTGTTAAAGCTTAGTTCTGTTTTGCCTGTAGCTTGGGATGATTTTATTGTCAGCTCCAGTGATGGCACACTGAATTAAAAGTTCCTTATCTGACATTTTCATATGTTTAAGTAGTTAAGAAAACACTCAGCTCACAATACTTATTTTAAGTATTTTGAAACTCATTCCTATTAGGCAGTTTCAATATTCTGTCAATATTATTTTGCCAATAGATCATTATAAACACACGTTTTATTTAGCTTTTCTCCCAAATGACTGAATGCTATTCTGAAATTGCCTTTCTATGTCAAAGTAAATTTTCTCCAGTTTTTTCCCAATTTTTTTATAGTCCATTTAGCAACAGTAAAAAACACTCCTCTGAGGTTTTGGGAAACCATCTGCATTTATTTTATCACCTTTGAACATGTGTTCGGGAATGCAGTATGTGTAGAGAGTTTACTGCTACCAAGAGATTTGTGCTGCTGCACCAGGAAAAAACTTTGACTGTACAGAGAGTGCACTAAAAACTACTCTGCTTATACTCTATAATTTCAGTGCTATAGCAATCAACATCACTATACATTGTGTATTTGGAAACAATACCAAACAAGAAATAAATTTGACTGGGAGTCCCAAAATTAAAAATTTAATGGTAATGACGTGATATTTCTGTCCTTCCAGTAGATGCATTTACACAGTAAAGTAAAATGCATGACTATTCATTTCATTTAATAGAAACATTGTGGCAAAATCAATGGGATTCTATGTTCTCCCTGCTTGGTACATGTATTTAATTCATGAAGCATGTGATGGTGGGGCCAAGGGAGAAAGAGGAGGTGAGGATAATCAGCTCAACAGCTTGTGAGAAGGGTGGGAGCATTTTTAACATGCAGAGGGCTTATTTTCAAAAATGCTTTGCCTGTATTTTGTTACAGCAGATGGCAGAATGACGAAGCATGCGCAGACATAGTGTAAAAAAAATCAAGCTGTGTAAGGATAATGAAACCTTTCCCTAGGAGAGTCTGCTATTCTCTGCCCCTGTAGATCTGTACAGTTTTGTGCAGATTTTCTGAGAGTTTAGCAGTAACATTTCCATTAAATTCCATAACAAGAATCTGTGTCAGAAAAAATATATCTACTACTTTTTTTCTGGAATGTCTTAAATTCACAAGTTTGATAATTTTCTTAAACATATATATGTATATTTTTAAACAAAAGATGATTTGGTACTTCTGATCAACTGCAAATGGTAATACTTCACGTGAAGATCTCCAAGTACAGATTTCTTCTGTTTTGTTGATGAGCTTTGAAGCCAGCAGCATGTGAAAGCCATGTTTTCACTATAGAACTGACATTTTGATGTCATGATCTTATATTTCTAGCCAGCTTGATCACATTTTGAAGATGTTCATTGTACAACTAGCTGAGAACATGAGCAGCCTTCTCTAAATCATGCTTGAGAAGCAGCTGTGCGTATGTTGCTTCTATATGGAGCAAAAAGGGAGAGAACGTGACAGAACTTTATACTGTCTTTTCATTCACTTTCCCAAATCTCCTAGTCTCTTCCTTGAGAAGCAAGTTACTTAACCAAGGAGTAGGTAATCAAGAGTGGCTTCTTGTTTATCTAGGGGTTGAGAGAGAACATAAATTTTTGACACAAGTACAGTGGGTGCTTCTTGGTTCACGTTTCTTATCTGCCCAGAAGTGGGCCTTTCATGAACTTGAGTAGTCCTTCCGTAAAGCAGTGCTATGACTGCAGAATGTTGTCTAACCCTCTCTAAAACAGAGGAGCAGCAGATGCCCTTTCTGAGGATGTTGCTATGATTTACTAGTGCCACAGAGAAGAGAGAGAACACTTGGATACTTGGATTATTTGTAAATCATGTCAGATAATTTGACATAATACACTAATATGCTCAGGGAGGCTTCTAAGGGAGATGAAATGCTGCTTTTTTCTGACTGAATATATTTCCATGGCAGGTGAGAGAAAAACTGCAGAGAAGACAGGGAGTCAGAAGTGTAGTGTTGCAAAAGTCCCACAGAGTTTTAGGAAGGTGGGGTTGAGAGACTATTCAGCTATAATCTCAGGTGAAAAAGTCATTCCTGATATTACAAGTGTTAAATAAACGCCACCAGATCATCTGAAACACTGATTCAAAATGAAAATTAACCTCTTTTAATTGAGATCAATCCTCCTGCGTTAACTAGGAATTAACTATACTCAAAGAAGACAGAAGATGAAGTTTTGCTCTTGGTTATTCCAGTGCAACCCTTGTTGTCAGCACTTTGGACTACTAAGCTGTTAAGTCAGGGCAGAATTTGACTAAATCCAAATTGAATGTGAAAGAGTTAGCCTAAGTTGAAAGGATTATCTACCATGCAAAAAACCCCAAGGTTTTATCATCAGTGTCATAAAAACTGTTGAGTATTCCATCTAGTTCCCTATACCTAACTTTTAAATGGTATTTTAACTACTCAGTATGATCAGAACACAAATGTTTAGCAGCAAATGAAAAAGAAATTAAATAGCAGCATGTTGTAAAATACTACGTCTAGCACTGTAAAAAGGAATCAACAGAAATTATGTTCTCTGTGTCTGAGAAAGGAATGTTAATACAAATCTCAATTTTGCTTTATACATATTATTTTGTGTAATAAGCATCTTGCTTACTGCTTGTAGACACTCACAATGTGTAATCTGGATAAAGGAGTAGAAATATGCCTCTAATCTTTCTGGACCAAGTAAAAGTTGAGAAGTTGCACATTAGTGTAGTAGATAAATTAAATGTGAGATTGAAATATTCTGCTTCTCAGGCTCAGAGATTAAATATATTTTAAAATATTGAATGGCAGTTTTGTCATGTTATTACAAATACCTTCAGCCAGATTCACATGTGGCACAGCCCACTGCTCAGATGGAACATACTTCTTAACCTTCGTTTTTGTACACACTGACTAAATGTGATCCCCATTAAGTTTGGAAGACAGAAATTTGCTCATTTCTACATTGCTGATAGAACATAAACTATCGTCCCAATATATGAGACAAATTACAGGTCAGAACATGGTTCCTGCATTCATGCCCTGAGGAAAACCTTCCAGGAAGGGAATTTTTCAGTGCTAAAAAAAGTTCTTGGCTACCAGAGCCACAGTGTCTGCACTAAGATACCACAAAAACTTGTGTTTGAAGTCTCAAGAAGGCAGAACTCTTCAGACTGAAGAGCTGAAAGGTAGAAAGGTGGAATGTATGACATAATAATTACTACACTGTTTCCTTGAAAACTAAACTCCTCAAACATGTGAAACAGACTGAATAGCCCTCATGATCTCCTGATCTCAGAATCTGACTAAGAGGCACAGGTCAATAATCTTGGCTTCTAGAGACTTGGCATCAGGATATGGTAGTTGTTCTAGGAGAGGGTAAGGGTGAAGAAATACCTTCTTCCACTATAACTGGATAACAGCAAATATTCAAAACAGAGTTCTTATGGAAACAGCCTAGTCTCAAACTCCCATGTTTTCTGGATTGCTGCATGCAGTTTTCTCAGAGGAATGTGAGGGTATTGGAAAACAGAAGTTAGAAACAGGAAATTTCTCATTCAACAACTTTTTTTCAGTGATCTATTTTCTTTTCAGCTCTCCTCTTACTGTATTGTAGCCCTAATACAAAAATGTGTGGTGATGCTTTCTGTTCTGAATTCCACTGCAAGGGAAGAAAATAGCTGCAGTGCTATGCCTGGATTGAAGAGTATTACTTAGTGTTACTACTTATCTGTGGTTCCTTCCTTTTTTTTTTTTTTTTTTTTTTTTTTTTTTAATATGCCATGGAGACTAGTGTGGGTCAGCAGCACAAAACACATATTTCCTATTCACATTACCCAAGGCAAGGAGAGTGAAGTCAACTCCACCATCTCCAAGGTGGCGGAGACAGGTCTCTTGTCTCTAACAGTGTAATCTTTGAGTAGAGAATTCACACCATCATTTTGTAATTTGTAATGATGCTTTAAGATTTAAAGATTAAGATTTGTAATGATGCTTTAAGAAAAATCATGGCACTGTTGTAATGATTTGGATCTTGGTCACAGTAATTGAAAGACTAAGAAGAAAGGAAATTTTTTTGCATTTTTGTTCAAAAATTTTCTATTTAACAGTTTCATTTGTATCCAGAATATCAGAAAAAGCTAGTTCAAATAGCGGAAAATGCTTAAGTCACCCATATGATTTTAAGGGAACTAATAAATACATAGCAGTTCTGATCTCATGAAGGCTTAATGTCTGAAGTTCTTACTGACACAATAAAGCTTGGAATCATGCCTGTGACATTTTAAAGCAGGTGGTGAACTCTGAATTCATTTTCTGCATACCATATAACTACTGCCTGTGGAGCTACATGATGAATACCAATATAATTACTTAGTATTATAGATTACAGGAGCATTATACTATGCTGCAGAAGCATTAAGCTACAATTGCTTTTCATGTAGAAGTATCACTGTCAGAACTCAGACTGATTCATTATAGCTCACTAAGTAAACTCAGGGGCTTTATGTGGCATAAGATAAATAGTCTCCTCTGAGAACCACCATACACAGCAGTTAAGGATTTGCCTCATCCAAAATTGAGTTTATTTCTTGCTTCAGATGTAACTTCATTGGGCTTTGTTTTGCTTGAAGAAATGTTAATTAAGAAATTCTGCTGCCAGGGATATTTTCATGCTTCAAACATGTACTATGTTTCTGCTTATAATCAGGGTAACCACTCCTAAAAAATTCCTCTCTTAAACCCGTAATCCCACTGCCCATCTGGCTGTGGGAGTGGCTTATAGATTTATTCTTCAAAAAAATACGTAGTCAGGATTTGCTGAGAACTAGTTCCATGATTCGGCTGCACTGAAGGGGATTTGGTTCACTCAACCTGTTTGCTTATGTCTTTGTCCAAGACAAGATAGCATTTAATCATATGCTCAATTTTAA